CCGCTGTCATGCCCACGCTCCTCACACATTTAACTCACAACTATCAAACCTGCTAGATCACTGTTGCTCTCTCTCCTTATTGACAGGGAGACTCCAGCCCTGAGAGAATGTGCAACTGGACGGAGGACACGCAGCAGGATCCCGGGCATTCAAGCATCCTAGGTTTTTTTTTTTTTTCAGTACTGGGGATTGAACTCAGGACCTTGTGCTTGCCAGGCAAGTGCTTATGCCACTGAGCTGTCTCCTCAGCCCCAAGCTATCTCTCCAGCCCCTCAATTTAGGAGAGTACATTTTTTTTGTGGTACCAGGGGTTGAACTCAGGACCTTGCATTTTCCAGGCAAGCACATATTCCACTGAGCTCTCTCCCCAGCCTCTGCATTCTAGCTTTTGAACTTTGAAAAAAATTATTTACTTATTTATCTCTGTATTTGGTAGAGGGTCTCCCCTGTGCAGCTTGGACTCGAGCTGATCCTCCTGTCTCAGCCTCCCCAGCACTGGGATTATAGGCGTGCATCACCACTCCCAGTTTGGGGGTAGCACAGCACGCCCTGAATTCTGGAGCCACCACAGCATGTGGTACCAGACATCAAACTCAGGACCAGGCACTTGCCAGGCAGGTGCTTAGACTGCCAAGCTATCTCCCTGGCCCTAGCTTTTGAACTTATATTCACATCCACTGCATAATTTGCTTCTGAGTGTGTCTTTTGTGTTTGTGGATCTGTGTGTGTGTGTGTGCGTGTGTGTGTGTGCGTGTGTGTGTGTGTGTGTGTGTGCAAACATTTACACCCATAAAGCTTCAGTGTATATCAATAAGCCCGGCTGTTGACTTGAACTACTTGTCTGCGGGGCCCCAGCCGAGTGCATGATCCCTGCCCTGGTCTGTGGGCACCGGTCTGAGCAGCCCCCTCCCCATGCTCCTCCATACTTGGTTCTGTCACCCTGACCTCACAGAAGGTGACGTGGTGTCCCTGGAGCCCGTGGGCAGAGCCCTCTTGCAGCTCCCAGGGGACTCCACGTTGGCAAGGCCACCTGGGCAGGGACACACAGTGGCCTCAGCCACAGCTCCCTCTCCCAATCCTCACTGCCTACTGGAGGGAGTTTACCTCCAACTAAGCTGCCATCATTAGATGTCGGGGGGCTTTGCCTCTCATCTCAGACACAGAATCGCTCCCAGGTCCATGAACCCACATTGTGTGACCGCACATGGCCAGCACCCCGCCTGAGCTGACAGGGCTGCCACCAACAGTAAGGCAACTCGGCCCCGTCACTAGCACAGGAAGCCCACAGAGGAAGTACGTATGTGGGTCTTGAGGGCTTCTTTGCAGGTGAGAGACAGAGAAAGGCCCAGAAAATCCCCCTCGCTCCATCTGCCTAAAGTGATGTCGTCTGTAAACCTGTAGCCGAACCCCAGATCCTCCACAAAGCCAAGCTTGCCCAGCAACCTGCTCTCCTGGAGCTAGGTGGTCAGGACTTACCAGGTCCCTGCCCCAGTGCACTTTCCTTTTGCACGTCCATCCGCCCTCGTGCAGCTACCAGCTCTGCAGCAGGACTGGCAGGAAGCGGGGGTGCCCTGACTTTTGAGGCTGCCACTGTTGAGGAGGAGGAGCCAAGGGTGGCAGGGAGGACAAATCAGGCTGAGGTTGGCCCTGAGGTTGTTTATTTGCAGCCTTCAGGGGGGCTAAGCTGGGTCTGGCATGTTGACTTTCCACACTTTTCCTCCCAATCCTTTCCATAGAGTCTTCCCAGCCTGGGTGATAAATTCCCAGGTTCAGGGAGAACCAGAGTCCCTCCGCACATAGCCATCTTTGTGAGGTGAGGAGAGCAGGGGAGGAGGGATAGCGAGGCTGCAGCTGTGAAGGTACCGTGGCTCAGGGCTCACGCCTGCCCCTCCCTGCACCAGGCAGGGGACCAGGAGCGACTGGCCAGATTCAGGGCGACAGAGACAGAAGGCAGAAGGACTGTCTGGACTGCCATGGCTACTCCACGCCCGGCTGCAGGATCCACACATCTAGGGAAGGGCCAGGCCGTTTCCTATGCAGAGAACAGAGGAGACAAATCCTGCTGTTGTTCCCGCCTCCTGGCCAGGGTGCCCACAGGTGTGCGCTCTCTGGCACTGACTGCCCAGCAGGCGTGCTAGGCATTACCAGGGCTCAGGTTTGAGATCCTCCTGCCTCAGTGGCCCAAAGATCGGATGACTGACATGTGCTACTTTTTTCACTATTGACGCCTACATCAGAGGCCCTGTGGTGGATGAACTGAACTGGGCAGGTAGTGAGGACCCTGCCCCAACAGGGATGACCCCACTCAGGCCTTGCGGTCAGGGCACACCCCCCCCCACCAGACTGGAAGCCGAGCCTGGGAACCTGCAGGATGTCCTGAGGCAGCATGGGTACCCTGGAGTCCAACCCAGGCCATGCACTGCCCCTCTCTAGCCTCATCTCCTCACGAGTAAGTACAGCAGGGACAGATGCCTGCTATGCCTCTGCAGGCTAGGAAGGCCAGCCAAGCCGTGTGGCTCTCTTCTTCCCTGGCTTCCCTGGCCTCCCTGGCTCTGCCTGCTGCCTTCTGAGGCCCAGCTCTCCAGGACACAGGGCAGGGTGGAAGGACAGATGGCACACAGTCCCTTGGACTCACCCGGTTGGTGAGACCGCAGGGTGAGGGAGTGCTAGTGTCCCACGTAACTCACTCTACTGAAAAAAGAAGGCAGCAGCCCAATCAGGACGGAGAGCTGGCAGTTCTTCCCCGCAGGTAGGGTCTGATGCCTTTGCAGATGAGCAGCGAGAGTCACCTCTCACCATGTCCCCCAGGCATTCCCAAGCCCCCATTGTCCCCTGGCCACAGTTTCACACAGACACTCAGGCACTGGTGCCACCCAGCCTGTGCTTCTCACGGCCCTCAGTGGGAGCCAGGCTGGGCAGGGTGCGTGGAAAAACAGGGCCGGGCTGGAAGCAGCAGGACCATGTTGGTGGGCAGCACCCGTGTTGCCTTCTGAACATCATGGATACATCGAGCTTCTGGAGTCTGACACTCCCCGTTCAAATCTGACTGTGTCTCTCATCAGCTGTGTGCCTTTGAAAAAAGTACTTAACGTCTCTGAACTTCAGCCTCCTCATCTGTGGAAGGGAGAGGAGACCGTAAACTCACAGGGATGCACAGAAATGGCTTCATGAGATCATGTCTGTGGTGCTCCTGATTCCCAGAAGGCACAGAGGAGGAGCAAAGACCCGGTTCCCTAGTTCCAACCAAATTCGGGGGTCGTGAGGCAAGTGTGGTGGTGCACACATGTACATGCAGCACTCAAGAGGCTGAGGCAGGAGGATCACCATGAGTTCGAGGCCAGCCTGGCCCCACCTAGTGAGATGATGTCTTTATAAACAAAATAAAACAAAACCGGGGGTGGCGAAGCCCAGATCACCTCACTCTCATCTAGGCCCGCAGTCCTCGGCACAGTCCATGTGCTTTGCTTGTTCCAGGGTGTAGAGGCGGGAATGCACCCTGTACCTCCTCGGGGCTGCAAGGGGCACAGGAGCAGGGAGAGACACGTGTCCTTCTGGCAGCCCATGCTGCCCCCATAGTTCTGCATTCTCAGTCCTAAACATACTGGCAGTCTGAGTTCCAGGAGCTGGGGAAGTCTCTGGTCCTCAGGGCGACACATGCCAGCTGGCAGAGGAGAGTTCATGGAGAGCCCATGTGATAAGCCAGTGAGGGCACAGCAGCGGCCCCTCCCACCTGCCACCAGCCCTGAGCCAGGCCCTTGCTGGGGAACACAGCTCCTAGGAAGAACAGCAGCTGCCCCCAACTCCAGCAGCCTGAGGTCTCTCTGCCCTTCCCACCCACCCAAGCCCCCGAAAGCCAGGAAGCGAGCTGGATGGAATAACTCCCCTTCAGATGCAGCCGTGCTCAGACCCGCATCTGCCAAACAGCACCCTTCATCCCCAGCACAGCTGATGAAAGAAACTTTGCCTGTAGCCCCAAACAGAGAAGGTGGGGCTCCCTGGAGGAACTCAGGGACCCTTCCTCTTCCAAAGACCAGTTCCTACCACCGGAGGCCCGCGCACAGCCTTTAACTCCTCACCCAGTACTCCCTGTGCCAGGCACTGCACTGGGCCCAGGAAAATCATGGAACACCCTCGCCCTTGGAAATCAAACACAAGGGCTATGAAGGTGTTCCTGACACCCCTAGTTTCTCCCCAACTGTGGAGTCCTGGATCCTTCCTCCTCTCCATAGCTCTGCACCCAGGATGGAATCCCGGGGAGGAAGCCCGTTTGCTAGGGGAAGGGTCTCTGCCTCACAAGGCCCTGTCACCACGGCCAGCCGGTCCTGCACAGCGCCGGCCCGCTGCCTTTTCCAGGCGGCTCCGGCGCCTAGCACACGGCCCCGAGCTTATGAATCACTCTCTCCTGTCGCCTGCCTCGCCTCCGGAAGGGCTGCACACACCCAGACACATCGCCCAGACAGACACCCTGAGTTTCCACCCCAAATCCTCCCGCTGAACACCCGGGACCAGCTGCAACGTCTGGCTTCTCCTCCCCACTCCTCGGCCCCGAGCCGTCACTCTCTAAAGCCCAGGCGGCCTGGCCCCTGCCCCGGGCATTCGAGGAGAGAGCGGTTCGTCTTACCGGAGGGCTGCGGGGGCCGCAGACAAAGACAGTATATTAACTGAGAGGCCCGAAGACGAGCCTGATTTCAACGCCCCAACCCTGCGCTCCCACGAGCATGCATTTGGGTGGGCGGCAGGCGCGAGGTAGGGGCGGCGCACGCGAAGCTCCGCGCCCAGCACGCGCGGCGACTGTGGCTCCACGAGGAGATGCGTGTGCCTGGCGGATGGAAATCGGGGTCCCCTAGCATGAGGGTACAGCGCGGGGTTTTCCCTAAGTCTGGAAGTCCTTCTCCAAGCCTCCTATCCTTCTCTTCTGAAGTTTGGCGCGCTCGCCAGGACGCTTCAGGGCCGCCTCCCCTCATCTAGGACGAGGTTCCAGGACCCGGCGCCCCACTTACCCCGACCGCCGAGCCTTCTCCGACCCGGGTGGATCCGCTCTCCCCCGCCGGCGTCCAGAGCGGGCCGCATCCGCTCGCGACTCGGGCTCCGCGCCGGGCTGCGCGCGCTCCCCGGGCGGCGCGGGGGAGGAGGGCGGAGGGGGCGGCGCGGCTGCGGGTCCCCGCGCCGAGGAAGCGGCGCCAGGAGGACGGCGTCCTGCGCGGCTCGGTGATCGGTGCTCGCCTGCGCCCTCCCCGCGGTGGCCGAGCCGGATAGCGGCCCGCGGGACGGCGGATTCCTGAACCGCGTCCAAGGCGCCCGGGAGCCCCCCTTCTCCTGCTCCTCCTCCTCCCACTTCACCCCACCCAGCTTCCACCCATGCACGCTCGGCAACTTGGGCGCCCTCGGCGAAGTTGGCGTTGCCCGAGCCGCAAGCAACCCAGACTTGGGGACTGAGGGGAGGAGCGAGGGGGAGAGGGCCCGCCCCGCCCCCGGGGCCGCGCTCCCGGGGAGCCTCCGGGAGCCTCTGTGGGTCTTTGTTCCCGATCCGCGTTCCTCCTGGGGGGCTGAAAGGATCCCAGCCCGGTTGTGGGGCTGCGGGGAGAAGCTGTGCGCAGAGTCCTCCAGAAGGTCCCCATGTCCCGGGCGCCACCCCTCCCTGGGGAGGACCTTCCCTCCCTCCTGGGGTAGGGGAGCTGAAAAATGGTTCCCCAGGTTTCCAGGGACCACGGCACCCTTCCCTAGGCGGCCACAGGTCGCCTACCCACCCAGTGCTGGCGGCCAGGTCAGGTCTCCCCGAAAGGGGGACACGGGCACTGGAGTCCCAACTACTTGACGTACTCTTCACACCCTGAAGGACAGCTGGCTAGGGGCTGTTAGGGTTAGAGGCTGCCTGGCAAGTGAGAGCATGGGGCAGTAGCCAGCTGGGCCAGAGTCCCTCCTGAGAGCCAGCGCTGTAAAGGGCTCCGAACCAGAGCAGAAACCGACCTCGCCGCACTTGTCAGGTCCACGGAGTATCTTTGGTCTCAGCTGGCAGGGCTTTCCTCCCGGGACTTCCTATACTTACGATACTGAGCTAATTCAGGCCCCTAAGACAGGGATCCTGACATTTAATAAGATAGTGCAGTATAGGGTTTACACAGTAAGTTATTTCCTGTAAAAGAGAAGTAAGAAAATAGAAAAAGAGGAAATCTAGACCTCTGTAGTTGGCCCCTTCCGTCATTCTGAAAGCTTGCAAATCAGAAAGGAGAGGACAGGTTGCAACAAAGAGAACCAGCTGTCCAGGTCTTCCCCAGAGCTGCGGTTCTGCAGGTGTCAAGGGGGCAGAGGTGGGGTTATGCCTTCCCAGGCTGGGGCAGCAGGGCAGGTGGTGCAGGGCCCCAGGGAGGGCATCGTTTGTGTAACCAGAAGCAGAGGGTAAAGATCTAAGCCAGGAACCTGGAAAATTTCGCTCTGAAATAGTCTTCACACATAACTTGTTGCCATATTTGCTCAGCCAAGAGAAATGGTCTTATATTCTTTTTTTTTTTGTTTTTTTTTAATTTTTATTTTAGGGAAAGGTCTACAGGGTGTTCACGTTCTCAATACTAGATCGGACTTGTAGTGATCCTCCTGTTTAGAGCCTCCCAAGAGCTGGGATTACAGGGCGCTACCACATCCAGTCTCGATGGCTGTTTCAGAGTGTCCCGGGGGTGGGACCAGCATGGCAGGCCTGGGGATCAAACCCTGCGTCTGCTTGCGGGTGCTTTAATCCACTGAGCTATTTGGCCAGCCCGGGTCTTATATTCTTAACACTGTTTGAAAAATGGAAAGAACTTTGCAGCACAGAGGCAGAATTGCAGAGCACCGTGGCACCTAGCCTTCCACGTGGATGCCACTGGCAATGGGACACAGCCCCAGGGACATATATTGAGGTCACCACCTGGAGCACCAAGACACCTGTCCCCAAAACACCTGTCCCCAAGCCTGGTGGTGGGAAACAGAGGATGAGTTCAAGCTGAGGAACACTTGCAGGACAGCCAGTCTGTGATTTTTAAATCGCCAGAGACAGAGAGACAAAAGCAGGCTGAGAAACAGGTCCAGATGAGAAGAAACCGAATAGACAGATAGGAGCAGATTTTGGTGACAAGCTGCCAATCTGAGTCTAGGTGATGAAAGATGGAGACTTCTGTCTTGTTGGAATCTTCTCTGGCTTTTCTTTTTTTAAAATTAATTGATTAATTAGATACAGGATCTCGCTATGCAGCTTGGACTCAGGTGATTTTTCTCTCTCAGCCTCCCCTGTGCTACTGGGATTACAGGCATGCGTCACCTTGCTTGTTTCCGCGGCTGGCTTAGTGCTGAGGATCAAACTTGAATTGTTATGCTTGCCAGGCAGGCACTTAGACTGCTGACTTATCTCCCCAGCCCCTCCTTTCTGGCTTTTCACAGCTCGATTGAACCCTATGGGCAAATTGTGAGCCACCTTGTGGAAGTGGGATGTCCAAGGAACTGGGGGACATTTTGGCCCACAGCCAAGAGGTAATGTGGGCCCCCATGTCCAGTGTATGATCCCTGCCTGCAACCCCAGGGGGGACTGAGCCACAGAACTGGCAACTGGGTCAGGATCGCTGAAGCCACCAAGCTCAGGGAGCCACTTGCTATGCCCCTGTCTATAGCTACTGTAAGCACCAAATGCCATGTGTCCCCCTTAGGTGGACCCTGAAACTGAAACAGCTCCTCTAAAAGATGACATGTGGGTCACTGGCAGAAATAACCAAGGACTGGTACATGGAAACGTAATAGTGTCAGCCTTCCTGAGCCATAACTGCCCTGGCTTTGTGAAAGGACTTTGTGCTCGGGATAAACATACACTAAAAGATTTAGGGTCATGATTTCTAACAATTTCCCCTCAAATGGTTCAGAAAGAAAAGTAACAATGAGATGCTTTACATTATCTATAACTCATATAGTTACAGAGAAAGTTTGTTTATATAGTCATTGACTTATGGGTTGTTTTATTTTTATCTTTGTTGTTGTGGTTTTTGTTTTTTTGCTTTTTTGAGACAGGGTCTTGTTGTGAGTTCAAGCTGATTTTGAACTTACTATGTAGCCCAGGCTGGCTTTGAACTCATAGCGATCCTCCTACCTCAGTCTCCCAAGTGCTGGGACTATAGTTGGGTGACAGCACGCCAGGCTTAATTTGTCTGCTGCATAACAAATCACCTCCCCAAAAAATGACATAAAGTCATGAAAATGTGCCTTATTGCTCACGACTTCTGGAGTGCCTAGATTCAGTTGGGAGATTCCTTTGCACCAACCAAGATAAAGGATTTGGCTATGTGCAGGGCTGAGCCGCACTGGTCCCAGGAAGGCTCCTGTCCGGGGCCTCCACCTCAGCGCCCCAAGGATGTGGGACTCCTGCACATGGGAGCAGTGACAGTTATGGAGACTGCATCCAGCAGCCCAGCTAAGGCTGTCTCCATCAACCAAGCCAAACAGAAACTGGAGCAGGAAGGAGGTGCAGCAGAGGGCCATGGCCTGGGGCTGGGTCCCTGGACTGCTGATTGTCCCCTCTACTGTGTGCTCTGGGTGGGGCCCACTGAGCCGCAAAGCACTCGCTTAGCAGAGAGGAGCCGGTGGGGTTCACCCCCAGCACCACCAAAGCTGAATAACTACCTGAACAGGAAGTGCAGGGCTGCAGCGCTGCCTACACTTGGTGTGTATGTGTGAAGAGAGGAGCCAGCCACCTCAGCCTGGGGCAGGAGGCAGAGGAGACAGGCAGCTGCTTCATGGCACAGGGGACGCGGCCAGGAGGGAAGGCCACAGAGCCAGAGCTGTGCGGACTTGGGCTGTGTTTTAGGGAGCACAGGGGGCACATGGAAAGATTCATAGTGGAGCAGAGGCACGCAAATTCGCCTTCTAAGGAGGGTACTGTGAGCACCAGCACAGCGTGGGCTGGGGAGAGGACATCACAGGCAGGAGCGGTGACAGTGGGAGAGAGCTGTAGTCAGCAGGCAGGATGTGGCAGAAGAGCAGGAGAAAAGGTGAGAAAGCTGGGTACTGGGACACATGCCCGTCCTCCCAGCATCTGGGAGACTGAATCAGGAGGATGCCAGTTCAGGAGGATGCCCGGCCTGGATAATTGAGCAGCTGAGTGAGATCCTGTCTCAAAAAATAAAGCACTGAGGGTGTGGCTCAGTGCAAAGACCTCGAGTGCAATCACTAGTGCTGAAAAAGGAAAAGAGGCAACTCCCAAAGGTGCGGAGGCTTGTCCTTAATGAGCTTCTTCCGCAAGCTGGGCATGGAGGCATACCCTTGTAACCCTAGCACTGGGGAGGCTGAGGCAGGAGGATCACTGCGAGTTCAAAGCCAGGCTGAGCAACATAGCTGTCTCAAATAGAATAAAAGTGGGAGATCTCAGGATAAACCCTGAGTTGATTTCACTGACCTTATCAGACCCAAAAGCTACATCTCTTGTTGCATAGGTCCTGCTTTACCTTGGTCTTAACCATCCAGCAGAAAAGTATAAAAACGAAATATAAGAAGTAAAGCCATGCTGTTATGTTGAGCTGTAGGGGACTCAGGTCAACAATTTCTGACATTGCCAGTCAAGTGGAAGACTCAATACTATTATGGGCTACTGGACTCTTAGAATATTTTTCTGAGTTTACACACCTATAATATTCAAATAACGGAACTTAACAAAAAAAGGGGATACAGATGCATGTCCATTTTGTATCTGTGTATTCAAAGCGGTTAGGATAGATATATATAGTTACATTCTCTTAATGAGTAGAGGGATTTGTTCTAATAGTGTTTGTAAATAGGATATCATGTCCGCATCTTGTACAGCAACTAACCACTAGGAAAAATGTATGCAATGTGTTAATTATTGAAACTGTCCTACCAATTTGGTTTGAAACTGTCTCATTGCTATTTGTTTCTCAATAAAATTATGGAAAAAAATAAAATAATATGAAGAGGAAAAAAAAAGAATAAAAGTGGGGAGGGCTCCCCACTAGAGCGCTTGGCCGCCTGTGTGAAACCGTGGGTTCCATCTCCAGCACCACAAAAGAAGATGGAGACCAAGGAGGAGAAGGAAGAGGGATGAGAATGAAGCCTGTGAGTCACATGGGGGATTCAGACAGAGGAAGAGGAGGAGGAGTGGGCCCCGGGCAGCTCTGCTCGCTGGGCGGGCGGCAACAACCTGAGGTGTGGAGGCTGAGGCGGGTCCATTCCAAGCCCAAGCGGTGGCTGCTGCTCTGGTTGGAATGAATGGGA